CACATGCACAAGGAGCAATTACCACAGGAAGCAATTTCTCCACACCTGGCCACACCTCCGACACAAACATCAGCATGAAAGAAAGAGCAAATGGTATGCAAAAAAAAAACAATTAAAAAAAATAAAGAAGCAAAGATGTTCAACAGAAAATGTCAATTTTAGTCCAATTTAAAGCTTTCAAATGTAACTGTGTTTGTTCCTCACCAAATTACCACCCATGTTGATGCAGTGTACATTCTCCAGTTATGGTATATAGGGATTCAAATCCTTTAAAAGTTCAAGCTTAAGCTCAGTCTTACACAACAACAATAAATAGCTCCAAAATGTCCAAGTGTCTTGTAAGATGTTCCTCTAACTCATAAGTGAATGCTGATGATGTACACTGAGCATAACAGACACTTGGCTACTTCACTCAAGTGACTATTTTCAACCCCTCAGCACCACTTCATTACTTCAACCACAGCTCTGCTGCCAGAGTCAGGCCGCTCATTTCCCGCAGTTCTCTTAAGGTGTCGCTTTAGTGTTACTTCCCAGCAGCACAGGAATTAGACTGTATACGGCGTGTATGTATGTGCTATGGTGGAAAATAATATGTGTGTATTATTTCAGTGCTAAAAGAGCTGTTCATCCACAGAACTAGATCACTGCTACTTATAACCCCATGGGGTACTTCACAGTTGTGATGGGGTACCTAGAAATACTGAGGTGTTGAATACAATTCTATAAAACAATATATCTGTGCTTGTGTTTAGTAGGAAATGATATCCGAATAGGATATTTTAATTACAGGATATTTATTGTCACAGTAGCCAATAATCTACCAGCACCATTAGTGCAGCTACACAGAACACGTCTCCCACAGTCAGTGGTAAAACTTTAGGTCTATGAAGACTAGTTTGCAAGTAAACAGAGAAATTAAACTAGATGCCATGGATAAATAATTAAACCATGCCTGGACCACACACCTGTCAAACAATGGTCTTAGTGAGCTCTCTAGACAAAATTAAAAGGGACTATGACGTACAGTGCATCATTACTTCAAGCATTCCCAAAAAGATGGGTCCTGTTATGTTTATTCTACTGCAGGTCTGATGAACTCAGCTCCGTGCCGGCACTTACAAATGACCACATGCACACCCTTAAGGGTTTCTTATACACTGTACACTGGAAAATAATTACTGAAGCCTGAACTGTCTCACAGCCACACACACACAGCCCAAAAAAAGGCAGGTGTAAAGCCTCAGGCTGCAAAGCACTATTCTGTTTAACATCACGTACACTGTCCATGTCCATTTTCATTGGACAGTGTGTCCAAACTCTTGACTGGTACTGGTAGATGTATATACACATCTAAACACTGGCCAAGAGGAGCAGTAATTCATTTCCATTGCATAACAGCAGATAGAATTACTACTTTTGATCCCTGTGTTTTTGTGACTGTAAGCATGACTGAACCTGGACTCTTCAGAGTTGCCCTTGGCAGTGACTGTGGTGAATGGTTTACCTCATTCACTCACAGGGGCAGTGTTTCAACGCCGCGTGTCAAAGCAGGTTGGATACACAATATACCTGGTTTAATCATTGTGCATAAACAGTTTTTAATAACCAATGCCTGCATTACAGCCTGTTGTGTGAATTGACTAAAATACGATTCTTAGTGATATTGTTGACCTGAATGTGGTTTTAGGGGAGCTGCCCATGACTCAATACATTGTTTAGCTTATCAAGTGAAAGCAAAGGTGAAAGAATTCTTATCTGACACTTATAGGTACCCTAACGTGACGCTGGTCATTTGAGTGGTTATATGTGCCAGTAAACATCCCATCTGCAGTCTGAGGAAAGACCCTGAACGAACACCCTGCGCGCAACTCTTACATCAAGTCATGTTTTGACGCCCACTCACGCCTGCACACATTTCTTCTGCCAGCTTCTTACCTTTATCTGGCTCTCTTTCTTCTTCTCCTCCACATGCTGGTACACAGGCATTTGCAGAAAGTCCTCTTCACAGCAGATGAAGCTCACTGTGCATCCCATCCGAGCAAAGCCAGAGCGCACACGTCCAAACCCATTCAAAATGCCAACACACTGTCAACCTTCTTTCACGTCGCTGCTGAAGGCAGAAGTTATCGTGACTTTAATCCGCTCAAACACATGATGAATGTGCGCAGTGGCTCTGGCATCACAGCGCTGTCAATCGGGTACCAAAAAGAGGACTCAGAGACAGTTTTACGCAGTTTCGAGAAGTTTCCTCCAGCTGTTTTCAGCTGCGCTGCCTGACTGCCACACTCAGGTGACTTCCCGCTCCAGACAGACTGTGAAGGACAAACAGGTAGCCTGCAGCGCCCAATGAACTCTCTCTCTCTCTCTCTCTCTCTCTCTCCCTCCATCCTTATCGCTTTCCA